GATTAATTTTTTCTGAAGACGAGGAACTGTTAGCGGAGTAAGTCTAGATATATAACAAGAGGCCCAAGGGTCTTGAATCGCTCTTCTGATAAACTGTACAAACTATCACTTCTATTAGAAGCCTCTAAGTATCCTGTATACATGTATTTAGATAAAGCCTTGAAATTCCAAAGGTAGGTCATCATGACCTACATTTTAGATGAAACACTCTAAGAACCCAAGATGATTCTAAGCCAATTATTACCTGAGAGTAGGTCATGGTGACCTACTTATCACTTCTCTGAGGACCCAAGATGCATCAACTAAGTTTGATGATTCTAAGCCAATTAATACCTAAAATATTTTTTAAAATTAAAACCATAAAATTTTAAAAGTAGGTCACAGTGACCTACTTTTTAGATGACATACTTTGAGGACCCAAGATGCATCGACTGACAAAGTTTGATGATTCTAAGCCAATAAGTACCTGATATATTTAAATAAAGCCAAAAAATTTCAAAAGTAGGTCACAGTGACCTATATTACTTACTCCGAGGACCCAAGATGCATCGACTGACAAAGTTTGATGATTCTAAGCTAACTAGTACCCGAAATATTTCATTATAGCCATATAAATTGAAAAGTAGGTCACGGTGACCTACTTTTCAGGAGACGTACTCTGAGGACCCAAGATGCTTCAACTGACAAAGTCTGATGATTCTAAGTCAAATAGTACCCGAAAATATTAAATACAGCCATAAAATTTCAAAAGTAGGTCACGGTGACCTACTTTTCAGTTGACGTTTTTCGAGGACCCAAGATGCATCAACTTACAAAGTTTTATAATCATAGGCCTTAAAATGTTCAAATTATGCCTCTAAAAGGCTTTCAAATCGAATGCCTGAAAAGTTCAAAAAGTAGGTCACTGTGACCTACTTTTAATAAATATATTTTATGGACCAAAGATGCATCATCTTACAAGATTTAATGATTCTAAACCTCTCAGTATTCGAATTAATGACCTAAGTTGTTTTGAAAAAGATTAGCCATAAAATTCAAAAAGTAGGTCAATGTCACCTACTGTTTAGTTGACGTACTCCGAGGACCCAAGATGCATCAACTGACAAAGTTTGATGATCATAGGCCTTAAATTGTTCAAAGTATGCCTCTAATTCATTTTGAAAAAGAATGGCCGCAAAATTTAAAAAGTAGGTCACCGTGACCTACTTTTGAGTTAACATGATATGAGGTCCTTAGATGCATCAACTGACAAGATTTGATGATCCTAGTCCTTATAGTAAGCAAAATATCAATATTTTAATAAAATGTAATTTTTGGTCAACTTTGAAGTGACCTTGAGACCACGCCCTTTGCGTGATGCCTTGAACAATTTTAATCTACAACATATCCTCATCCTTTTGTGTAAGTTTGGTGATAATCTGCCCAGTGGTTCTTGAGAAGATTTTTTAGCAACCAGTACTTTTGTTTCTATTTTCCTAATTATCTCCCCTTGTTTAAGGGTCACAACCCTAGTTTTAGTATGAGTGGGAGCTTTTGGGCCAAGGATACCCTGACAAATTTGACAAGAATTGGACAAGGGGTTCTTGAGTTATGGCCCATATTCTAAAAAGTTTACACACACCGCACAAATGGTCATAGCATTAGCTCTTTGAGCCTTTGGCTCAGAAGAGCTAATAAGTTATACGACAACAAACTCTAAGAACAATAATCAAACCAAAGAGCAGTATTTAACGCTAAATACTTTATCCGTGTTTTATTTTACGGTGAAATGATCTGTTTTTGACATTATTTATATTTCATTTAAAACTCTTAATTTTGCAATTAGAGTACAAAGGATCAAAATAATCGCACACTCTACAAGCTCTGGGCCACAATGCTTACTGGAGTAGTTTCCTAACTGACACATGATTTCATGTATTTATCAAATCCTTTATGCAACTCCAAAGTTAAAGGCACCCACCCATATAATATATATATATATATATATATATATATATATATATATATATATATATATATATATATATATATATATATATATATATATATATTATTTTATATCTTCCTCTTGTTTTCATAAAAATATATTTACTATTCAATTCTGAAGAGTACGATTATTCCTCATCCCCTGACTTTGGTCATAGTTATTACAAACTACAAAAGGATACTTTCAAATGAATATTGAAACCTTCTTTGTTCAAGTCGTGGAAAAAACATTATCTGGACTACATGATTATTCTTGCATACTGTTTGGCCTAATTAATGCTTTCTGTTCTAAGATTCATTTTATTAATTGCTCTGACATATCTTTAAGCAAAATGTGGCGAGTCTGGTTCAAAAATAAAATAAATAAGACCAAAGAAAACTGTATCTTGTTTATATGTACATGTGATCAATATAAATTACCTCATTTCGGATAACGATTTACATGTATTGCCATATTCAAATTTTGTTAAGAAATGTTTCCCTTACTGATATCTCGTTATTATGCCAAATTCTTATGCAAATAATTTGCCACTTTATTTTTAAGACAAACGCCTATTATAATGTGGACATGAACTCATTATTAGCGTGATGTGAAGCGATATAGCAGCTGTGATCCCTTTAATATACAGGACCAATATACAAGTTAACTGTACTGATTTTATTGGAAACGTAGTAAACTCTAAAGGATAAATAATCAGCGCTTTGTGTGAATGATGACTTACAATTTGGAAGAATTTTACTTTTTCGTTTTTAATTTGTAGCTTAACACATTACGAAAGACACCTGCAGAGGTTAATTCTAAATATTTATCAGACAGAACCCGATTCTAAAGCTCCTTTATCAGCTAGAGTTTAATCCTAAAATCTACGGGTTCTTCAGAACAATACCTAGAATTCAATATTATTGTATCTATCTGTATCATGTAAAGAAGATGCAGACATTTACATTATTCAAAGAACTCCCTAAAAAATATAATTTAACGCATTTTGTTATGTTCTTTGTATTCTGAAACAAAAATTTGATCTACCCCTTTACCGACCCATTTACACGATACAAATTCGGCATGAAAACGATGTTCGTAACTGTGGTTAAATGTTAAAAGAAACATTCGTAGTGTGCCTTAAAGAGTATTAGGTCAGTAAATTATAAATAATATTCATTTCGTATAAAAATAGTTCTGAGTCTGTATTTATATATATACAGTATATATATATATATATATATATATATATATATATATATATATATATATATATATATATATATATATTATGGAAAAACAATTTTATGTGAAAAAAATATTTGAGATGATTTTTCCCATAAACAATGGCATGAGTCACATACCGTTAGAGTACTTAAGGTATCGAGGTCACTGATTCTGAAATATAGCAAAATAAGTTAAATAATAATTTCTACACACATTTGAATCGTAGTATAATAAAAATTGATATATTTAGTTTAAAAATCAGTTACACAGTTGCTGAGACATAGAATTTCTTCCCACATAATTCCAACCCCCTTCAGATGTGCCCGGGTTATATTTTCCCAGATACTAGTGCGAGGAAAATTTCTTCAGCATATTATCCTGTACAAAGTCTACGCTAAAACACCAGTATTTCAAAAAGTCAACAAATACAATTATGAAATTAAAATAGACAGCGAACAGGAAACAAAGTATGTGAGATAATCCGACAAAGAGTATCAATTTATATGCAGATAAGCGTTAAGAAGTTAAAATGTGAGATTTTTGTTCATTTCAATTACATTTTCACATGAAATTATTGACTTGTTAAAATATTGCTGTGACAAATTAGAAATAATAGTATTTAGAATCGGCTTCAAATATACGTTAATGCGATTTTAGCATCCTAAGCTTTGTGAAAAATCATGATATTAATTTGCATCATTTAATCTACATGTGACAAGAATAATTTGGTTACTGATAAAAATTTTTTAATTAACACAAAACAGTGTAAAAAGAGCTTTTTAAATTTATTTCATGATTTTCTTCGCAATATACTCCAGGATTTTTGTGATCGCCGTCTGCTTTTGGATATACATGTATATTAGTACTGTGCAATATTCATATCAAAGGACTACTTCAGGTAAATTTCAAACTCAGTGTAACACAGAAATGATTTTTACTGCATATATATATATATATATATATATATATATATATATATATATATATATATATATATATATATGGGGGTGGGGGTGGCAATCGAATACAGTATTACTAATCGGTTTACCGCGCAAGACGTTCCGACCAGTTAATCGTATTAGAAAGCACATTTTCTTGATAATTTTTTCTTTTAATTTAATTTCTAATCATATACAAAAGAAGACTGAAAAAATAAAAACATTTTGTTTATACTTGATCAGAACACTGACCAGATGTGACACAAGTTAATTCTGCATTGTCACCAAAATCAGAACTTAGTCTTAACTATTACTAAATTTACAGTGTTTGTTAAATAATATAATTGATTTGATTTAAGTAAATGCAAAGAAAGGACGGTTAAGATACACATACTCTGTTTATGGTAATCAGCGACGATTTAATTAATATCTTTAGAGAAATACATAGCAGACTGGGTTTAAACAGTAATTAACGCTTCACAAACTGACCAATTACCCCCACAATCTAATCCGGAGCGCCTTAATTACCTCCAAATTTTTAAGAAATGCAAATTGCGTTTTACTTTACACGAATTATTTTTTCAGACTAACCAATTACAGATATTCCAACCGAAAACCATCGTTCCGATCGAGTAACCGGTTAACCAATCACAGCAAGCCATCCACCATCCATAATATAATATAATATAATATATATATATATATATATATATATATATATATATATATATATATATACATATACATATATATAGTGTGTGTGTGTGTGTGTGTATGTGTGTGTGTTTGTGTGAGGGTGGTGTGTGTGTGTTTCAACAATGCCAAAAGGTTCACAATTAAAATTGAAAATAAGTGAAAATAAGGAAGAAAATATCTGGCAGCGTCAAACGTTTAAGAAAATAAGAGTATGATATTCTTACCAAAATGTTTTTAATTTTATCTTCTTGAATATTTCCCAAACAGAATTTTCTGGAAGGCGTTACGAAATTCTGGGTTAAAAATAGTGTATATAATTGGATTAAGCAGACTATTAAAGTACCCTAACCACAAAACAATGCTATTGACACTATTTGGGATGTTCTGTAAGAAAGGGTTCAGAAGTGCAATGATAAAAAATGGAAGCCAACACACTATATAAGCGCCTGTAATTATACCAAGTGTTCTCGCAGCCTTTCGCTCTCTTTTCATTTCAAGTTTTTCTTTTTGTTTTTTGGCCTTAGCTGCATTTGCACAAGCATTAGGAAGCAAGGCCAATTTAACCTCCTCAGCAGAAGTGTTTGAAGTCATTTTGGAATTGTCATTTTTATCACTACATCCGTTCATTCCATTCACACAGGAAGCCTCCTCCAACATAATGGTAGTCTCGGTCATTCCGTTGGGAGTCAATCCCGTCACTCCATTTGTTGGAGATGGTGAAGAAATCAAGTATTTCTGTTTCTTACTATGTTTCTTAATGAAGTTCTTTTTCCGAATTCGGGATCGTGCCACCTGATATATTTTAGCGTATATAATCAACATTATTATTGTCGGCACATAAAAGGCACCTCCTGTTGAGAAAAGGGTTTGGAAAATGTCTTGGTCTATCATACACATGCCTGATTTACTTGGCACATTGTCAGGATTGCGCCATCCCAACAGTCGAGGCATGGCAATACATAGTCCAACAAACCACGCAACTGCGATCATAATGAGGATCGTTTTGGCACTTCTGTTGCGTACATAGTCTATGTTTGTTACTGCCCAGTAGCGATCCACAGAAATAGCCACCAAATGTAAAATGGAAGCCGTGCAGCACAGCATGTCAAAGGTAATCCACATATCACAAACCTCGTTCTGCAGAAACCAGGCTTTGGTGACCTCGTTTAAAATGCTTATAGGCATAACTAACGTAGCTACCATTAAATCTGCAACGGCTAAGGATAATATTAAATAGTTCGCTACGTTTTGTAAGTTTTTCTCCAAAACAATGGCCGCTATGACGAACACATTACCTATGATTGTAGCTAAAACCATCAGCCCTAGGAAGATTGTTGTAGGAATAACTAAATCCAAACTCTTTACTTGCGGCCCAAACACGGAAGAGTGGGTGACAGACTCTTCTTGATAGATGAAGGATTCCTTTGTTTCATTGTTCTTCTCTAACACTGAGAAAGTTGCTGAAACGCTCGTCTCCATAATGCTTGAAAACTTAAAAAGCCGGAACAAATGTAAACTCTTTACTTACCAAACACATTGGGGTTTTAGTGTTGTGTTTTTCGACAGTCGTATCAAATACACAATTTTGCTACATGAAGATAAAATCTAGTGAATTCAATGAAGCTCCGTGTTACACAATTCCGAAATCCGATCGCAGATCATTAAATTCCATAACAGCAGCCATAAATTAATCATTAGTCTAGGTGTCATGATGCGTAATGTAGCTCCCACGGGAATGCATGGATACAGTGTTGTTGAATAAAATTAGTCACTGAAAAATACTTCATAATATTTTTCCTGAAGAGTGTTTGAACGTCCTCCACAAGAAATTGGATATCTGTGAATCAGATCTTTAACTCCATGGTATCTTGCGGTAATTTGATTGCTGGTACTCAACATCCACTAATTTATGACAAATACCAGTAATGTGCCCGTTCTGCTTGGACTTCCACTGTCTTCCTGTGCAGCGAATACCAATTCAAATCCACTCTGATTTTGATGCAGTCCTCGGAGAGTCAACCTTTAATTGTTCGCATAAAAAGGACCAGCTTCACATCGGAATTATTCCAGAATCAATACCAAAGATTGACTTAATTGTTGATACAACTTAAATGAATTTCTTATCATCAAAACACACTCACTGGCGAAGCGCGGGATAATGAGCAAACATTAGATTTTTAAAGTGTTGTCTGTTTGACCTTGAAGACAGACAATATTCAGACAAGGAATGAAATTGGAAGCAGCCAATGTTTGTTAAAAACACGTCAGCACGTTAATATTGTCTTCCTCGTCCAGTCTTGTTGGGGCTACATGACAGCGTGTTCATTATATTTCTTTCTCCATCACAAGTGACAACGATAAAGCGATAGTGTGAAAATCAATCCTATGTATTCAATCATTCCAGCACGATTTAAAACTCGCAGTGTCTACTTGATTTTATATTCAAAATTATGCAATCGCATATCGTAAGTATGTTTGTTATTTGTAGTCGCTATCCAATAAAATCACGAGAGTAGCTGTCGTCAAACCTGTTATTTGTCGCTATAGAATGGGGATTGTTTTGTATGTCTCAGTAAATGTAGTTTTGAATTGACGATACTTTTTAAACAAAAAAAATAACTGAGTACAGAATTCCTTCCATTTAATGCTCTGACTACTAATGATTAGCTGTCATATAAACTGTCTCCTCACTGTTGATGGTAATACGTAGAAGTGTGACACATCTTCAGCTCCAGTTATCATAACGCATCACAGAGGACACACATTGTGATCGCACTTTGATGCCAAACGGCTCCCAGTTGGGAATAAAATTGGTGTTTGTTGCTTAAACAAAGATGGCAGTTCGGACATAGCAGAAATTGAATACAGGATCAAACATGTGAAATTTCATATGGATAAATCAATAAGATATTCTCCTTTAACTGTTACTTCACTGGATGAGTTTCTCTCAATTAGCACTTTTCAAACCCTGTAAATAGAAACAAAATGATCATGATAGATACTAAATGGCACAAAAACTATCAAGTAATATCACTTCTATCTGTCAGTCATCTTATACCACACCCTATCTCCCCGTGGGTTTCCAATGAATTATATGTTGTTTCGTATAAAGGCAGACATAGGCTTGCGGGATTTAAATCAGCCTAATACATTGAGAAACCTCCCAATCCACACCCTCCCCCCATGCCATACCCACTGCGATAGTTAATAGAGTTTTATCAATGAGCGTACCTTCACACAAGTGTCACAAAAACTGACACCCCCCCCCCCCCAAATGATTCTCAACCGAATAGTTAGCGTAACAAACTTTTTTTGCAAATATGCAACTCATAAGTTTATTCAGATGAGATACTTGTGTTTGATCGGTCAATGTTCTGTAGTCAAGAAGGAAAAGAAAGTACAGAAATCTCATAAACCGGAAACCTTCCTAGCTGAACGAAGTTAAATAAATGTAGGCCCGGAAATACTTTTCATTTAAGCAAGTTAAATAAATGCTCTAAAGATGAAGCGTTAAAATAAATCATGCAAAAGATTATTGAGAAATATGAGATAAATATGGCTCTGGACGGCAGCTGGTTGTATTATAAAACTTAATTCTGGTGAATTACTAGCACCCATTTCGACAATGTGTTACAATTCAGTATGATGATCTAAGGACTAGCAATGTGTGATGAAAAAAGCGAGGAATCGATGTTAAAGACTGCTTTTGTTGAAATTGCGAAATCATAATGGCATTATATGCCGTAATGAAATTTATTCAGTAAATTCTATAAAGCAGAATTTTACCAAGTGCATTGTGTTTGATTAACAGGCTGTATTAATCAAATAAAGGTTGTGTTTCTTTTTGAACTTCAGTCTTAATTAAAGCAAACAAACAAACAAAAAATAATAATAAGTAAACAAACACACAAAAAATAAATAAATAAAAACCTCCAAAAAAAACCCCACCTTTTTTCTTCTCTAATTATTTAACTTGGAATTCCCCATCTTTTGACAGTGAGCACACTAAAGAATAGTTAAAGCAAGATGTATGCTTTTCTCCTCTATCATTTTTTTAAATAATGTGCATCGAAAGAATACGATCTGTGTTATGTGTCCATACTACGTGAAAAAGATATATTTCAGGACAAAAGCACAATATATACCGCCAATAACTTGTTACTATAATAAGCCAACTGATTGGTATTTCTGGATAGTTGAGCACAGCGTCTGCTGAGAAAATCAAGTTCCTAGATCAGTGTTATGACTACTTGAAAATAAATGATAAACCACCACCCCATGCCGATTACAACAGCATGTACAAATGTTAGAAACAAACTTAATCACTCACCATGTTTTTCAGACATCAACAAGTCTCCATTTGCCATGTTTACTGGTACAAATTGTAAATTTTAATTAAGCATTTACATACATAAATGGCCTCTATTGTAACATTTTCTGCAGTCCTTTGTCTCTCTAGCTGTATCCCTTCATAATGTCAAATCTTATAATTGTATTTATATGAGACATGGGCATTCCAGCATAGGTTAAAAACAAAACATTTTTATTTTACCCCCTCCCATCCCCTTGAAAAGCGGGTGTATATAGTGATGGGGATGTCTGTCCGTTCGTACGTCCCTTACCCTAGGGGGTACCCATCTCTTACCTGCAATTCCTCCCATACCACTAAATAAAATTTTGATGAGACTTCCAAGGAATCTTTATTACATAGCGCTATTGTGCATATCCTATTACACTTTCGATTGGACAGATATTTGGGGTTTCTCAAGGCAAAAAAAAAAAAAAAAAAAAAAAAAAAAAAGCATTCTGAGAGTATTGCATTAGCAATACTAGTCCCCTACCGGCAAGTGTAATCTGGTTCCCGTTAAGGATTAAAAATGCCATAATTCCGTCAAAAATCAATGAAGCGGAACGAAATGCAAACTTGATCTATAACTCATCATGGTAATGACACATACAAAAAAATCAGCTCAATATCTGCAAGCGTTTAGAAAAAAATTGCGGAAAACCCTGAAAAATTGAAAAGGTCGTAATTCCGTCAAAAATCATTGAAGCGGAACGAAATGCAAACTTGATCTGTAACTCATCAAGATACACTCACATACCAAAAATCAGCTCAATATCTGCAAGCGTTTAGAAGAAAAGTGCAGAAAACCAAGTGGGACAGACTGACAGACGGACAGACAGACAGACAGACGGACGGACAGACTCAGAGGAAACCTGTAGTCCCCTCCGGTTTCACCGATAGGGGACTAATAAAAATGGAAACTGCCATTCCTTCTATCAGTATTGAGGGTACTTATCTATTATCCGCAATTCTTCCTATATCACTGAATAAAATCTAATGAAACTTCCTCAGATTCGTTATAATTACATAGTGCAATTGTGTACCTACTATTAAAAGTCTTCATCGAACAGATATTTGGACTTTCTATCATGTTGTAAATTTTGAATTTACTAGGGGGAGGTAAATGCAAAATTTACAACATGATAACTCATGTTGTCTCCCCCTAGTAAATTCAAATTTTACAAACATGATATTTCCATTAGCAAACATTATACTTGTAAGGGAGCGGGGGTATCATTTTGTGAGCTGAGTGCTAGCAGTACTTTAAGTTATAGTTAAAAACAGCGAAAAACCAAAACAACAACAACAAGCAAAAAAACAAAAAGAAAAACAAAGAAAACAAAGAAAAAACAAAACAATAATAATAAATAAATAACAAGTCGAATCAAGTTGCTCACTTTTAAAATATTTGAAATATTTTATATACTAAATTTCTTTTGAATTTTACTCCCAGACATTTTTGTAATTACAAACATATAGTTATTCCAAGTGAAAATTCGTTTAAACTAAACAGAGTGTGTGTGAGTTTTTAAGGGCCAAATTAGAGCTTACAAACAAAATTAAAAAGATAAGGACCACTATTCTACCGGGTTTGAATTAAAGATGAAGTTTTATTTATTATTTTACCCAAAGAAATTCGATAAGTGGAATTATAATTACATTTATATATAATAAATTCTGAACAAGACAGTAACATATGGTGAAATAACATCGTAGTCGGAGAATGCTTTGCTTTAAACTTTTAAAGTTGATTTTTTTAACCGTCTACGGTTTGGAAATTTATTTAACTATCAAGGGTAACTATCAAAGGTACCTCTTTCAAAATCTATTAAACATTCTAGCATGAAGTTTTAATCAATTTTAAGATCATTACGAACGTATGTTTTGCCCGCATGATTTTGTTACTTGAATGCAGCTGTATTCTGATAATACTCCTAATGGTAGAAAAAAAGTGGTATACGTTCCCAGCTGTTTTATAATAATCTTACCAGTCGAGGAGTCCAAAATCCTACAAATATCACCAATCAATGAAATCCTTTCACACTTAAAAATATTTATGAATATCTGTAAATTCTGTAAGATAGATATGATGTATAGTTAAGTCTCCCATACACATGGTGCGCAGTAATATCGGAATAGCTGTTCTGTCTAATAAACAATATCTGCTCTCAATTATAAGCACCGAAATCACACCAGCTTTATAGATCTTTCTGTTTTCCAATAGCAAAGATAACATAATACGGTTTTATATTTACCAGGACTTTTTAAAAAAGAAAACCACTTGCCTGTCTTTGAGACTTTTGTCTCTTTAGATACTTCACTCTGTTTGTATAAAATATATTAGAATCATAATTATAATGTCAATAGGAGTTTATGAATAATGACGTCAATAAAGTTTCCATAGGAAAAAAAGAACAACTTTTGATGTCTGAAATCTTAACAAATGTTCCGTATATTGTGAATAAAGATTATGGATTTGTTTTCACCTTCATTGACCACAAACAAACACACACACACAGAGGGCGTGTCAATTTTACCATATATATACCCCATACTGAGATAGGTTTATTTTCCCTATGTGCCTATTAGCGAAAATAATCGCTTATAGAAAAAAGGACACGAATTGTGAATTCGCTCAAATTTTGAGATACAAGATGGTGGTCCTTTATACGTAACAAGTTTTGCCTACATGTTTTTGTCATATGAGCTTTTTCCGATAAAAATTTCATGATTTAGCTACCAACATGCGCGTGCTACTCAAATTTCAACCGATTAAATTTTGTTGAAGGAGACACTTTCACAGATTCAACGTATGTTTAAAAATCTGCCATGGATAAAGTATTGACAGGTTTTATGGACAATTTAATTCTATCTTTTCATTTAGTTAGTATACGCTTTATTTGCCGAATCAATTTTCTTGCTATAAAAAATGTAACATAACATTTAATTTAATCATTGAATTATAAGCACTTGCTTTCGCATTTAATTGTAACAAGAGTCATTAGTTATTGATATTTTGAATATAAATAGTACTTATTTATAAAGACCTTAAGTAC